TGTAATGTTGATTTTATGTATGTCTTGTCTTTCCTCTAGGCGATGGTGGGATACGGTGACAGGGACAACATTAAGTACGAATGCGGAGGGGCACTCATCTCTCCGCTCTTCGTCCTCACTGCCGCACACTGCACGCCCAGGTAATTTACGGCCTGCTCATGTTGCATTATTCTTAAAAAGTGAGAGGGGGGGGGCTCTATTTTACACGATAAATCCGCATCCAAAGCCCACTCGAGACGAAGAAATAAAAAATTCAAGGGGGCCTGCCAGAATAAATGAGTTCACACACAGGGGAAAATGTAAAAAGACATGTATGCAAAACAGTACTATATGTAAAAAGGAAACTTATGTGAAACGGTATTTTTATGTTTAAAAAATTGTGTCTAAGGTGTTATGTCAAATGTAATTGGGCAAAAGGACATTGTGTGAAAAAAAATTATGTGAACCGTCGTAGAACCCGAAAAATCTTACGTACAAACTTTTTAACCAAAAGAACACAAATAAATGTCAGATATGACATGCCTTTTGTGCCAGAAATATGTCAAGTCTGGCTATTCAACTGTCATTGACTCAGTGCAGACTAAGCTAAACTATACTGTAAGGTACTATATTGTACAACGAAGCCAACATTTTCTTTGGAAAACTCGCCGCAATCGGTTGCTGCTAACATAACAGTGCATACAAAAAAATAGTTGTAGTGAAATGGGTCTGGCCTCGGGCAGGAGGAAAGGATCAGGCTCACGACGGTCTGTGACATCACCACACGGTTCGGCTTCGGCCGGCCGCCGGGCCTGGTGTTGTGATGGTTGTAAATCCCCCTTAGGGTAAGGGGGTCAGTAGTCGCCAGTACACCAGTAGTCGCCACTTTCAAGTTTGTGTTCGATTGGTTCGCTCGGGTAGGTTGTAGCGCACTAGACTAGAATGCACTCGTCGCCGAGTCTTTGCGACCGCCGGGAGCCGGTAGGGATCGCTTCGCGCAGAACGCTGCTTGCCGCGTCACATCGAGCCCCCATTTCTTAGCTCCGGCAGGAGGGGACAGGCTTTCGGAAGGTTGTGTGGAGCCGCCAATTGCTCGAGCGTTTGCGCACAAATTGTTGATGCAAAATGCAAGAACTCTATTGATTTTGAGACCTCAAGCTTAAAAATTGACCTGTTAAAAAAATCAAAAACGAAAAACCCAAAATATTTCTTTAAAAAAATATTTTTTTTACATCTTTTTAAGACGTAACTCGTCAAAGTAGAAACCGTAGAGCCAAAATGCAAAATCGGCATCGCGTTTCCCCTTCTTGTAAAATCCAAATAAAATAAGGCAAATCTGAACCAAAACCCTAACTCTATAAATCAGTGACAATATTGTAAATATACAAAATAATGATGAACCAAACCTCAACTAAAATACCTTAATCAATGCAGGAAATACGTAACGTAGTATATTGTTAAAGATACTATTTATGTGAAAAATAATGATGCCAACCTAAACGAACAAACCTAACTTAATACATAAAGAGCGAAGCACCAGGGCACTAGCAGTTTCACGATTTTGTAATTGTTAAAGCTAATAATGAACCAAGATTTAATTAACGACCTATGTGATTGAAACTTCAGCTCGAAGGAACTATAGGAGTGCGTGGCTAAGAACCTTGCCTTCAAAACAGGCTATTTATGTTCTTTTGAAATAAATTGTTGAAACAAATGCAGTTTTAATCGTCTAAGTTCGCCTAACTTACGCTAACGCTTCACTTTAAGGTTTTATCAAATAAAGAGCCCTTTTAAAGCGATTGGTTCAGGTTTTGGAAGATTTAAAATATTCAGGTTTTTGAATTTCCATTTTGATTGGCTGAGCGATTAGCGAAGCCTGTTACTCCAGTGATGATCGAAAAGTTTTGTGTCTGTCTGTCCGTCTGTCTGTCATTCATCACGATAACTCGAGAACAGTTTAAGCTAGGTACGTGAAATTTTTATTGCAACTTTGTATCGTGAAAAGCAAGAACTATATTGATTTTGAGCCCTCTAGCTAAAAAATTAACGAGTTAAAAAAATCAAACACTAAAAGCGAAGAAGACTTATTTTGATACATGTTTTTTTTACCGCTTTCTTGGAGGTAACTTGTCCAAGTAAAGTCCATAAGACCAAAATGTTGTCCGTTTGGCTCTATCTCTAATCGTTTAGGCGCCAGGACGTTTTTCACACGGAAATGACCCCAAAACACTCTAATGTTTCCCTCAGATATTTGATGGTCTCTATTGGGGTTCCTCGTCAAAACGAAACCCCGAGGCGAAAATTTGTGACTCTTGGGGTCTAAGGCCAATTTACGACTCTGCCTTTTGCCCGACTCGCGTGTCAGTGCCGGAGGCCTAGGCCTAGGTAGATGTATGCCAGGCGCGTCGCAGCGTACATCTACCTAGTATGTTGGTACGTTTCATTCGAATTGTTCTGTGGAAATTGCGATGTGTGGGTGCGTGAATTCACAACTCAGGTAGGGGAGAATCTCATGCCCACTGTGCAAATTTCGACAGTAGGTTGGTGAATCCACAAGTTCGGGTACGGAAAAAGGCAGACCTGCTGGGCGTGCACATCGACAATGCATGTCCACTGGGTAATCAAATCACCTTTGCAAGGCCGGTGGGCACAGTAGGAAGTCCACTGGGCGGGTAAAATCCCGCTAATTTTTTACAGTGTGCCTCTCGATGTGCCCGCCGATACAGCTTTTATTACAAATCTGGAGAATGGACTAAAGACGGGAGGGAGAGGGAGTGAAGAGTTGGAAAGTGCGCGCCCTTAAACAATCCACAACTTTTGCAGTGCTCTTTTTCTCACACATAGGAATCGACCTGCTCGTTGGGTGATGCTAGGCGAGCTGGACCGTTCAACCGAAAAGGACGACGCTAGGCCAGAGCTCCTCGAGGTGTCTGGCGTCGAGCTGCACCCAGATTACACAGGCAGAACGAAGTATTTCGACATTGCACTGCTTCGCCTGGAGAAAGAGCCCGTGCTCAGCGGATACGTGCGGCCTGCCTGCTTGCACACAGAGAGATCAGTGTCGTCGGACACAAACCCTATAGCGACCGGCTGGGGTCACCTTTGGTACGGTAAGTGCCCCGACCTGGTTAGGTACTTTGAAATGTTTTTAAGTCGTTGTGTATTACAATTCTTCTGGCTGATGCCAGAGCACCTTACATGCCAAACATATCCGCTCGTTTCATTGCGAAC